AACATATTCTTACCCATTTGAGGCCGTCGCATAATTTCTTTTTCCAAAAAAAGATGATACCACAAAAAACTAATAATAATTTTGGATTCCTTGAGTTATGAGTCAACTTGAATTGATTCATCCAGTTGTACTGCGTTACAATATATATAAATAAATATACTCCAGAGAATTTAATTAATATTAATAAATGTGTATTATTTATTAATGATTAAATTTTGTATTATTGAATTTTACGATGGATTGGTAAGGGAGGGAGTTTGATTATTAACTGATTAAGTTGACTTAGGAATAAGACAAAGAGGAATTAAACTATTATTCTACTTTACGTAGTGGGCTGGGGGTTGCGTTTTAGATGAAAGAATTTGTTTAAGGAGAAAACAAACAGTGTAAAAGATCAGGAGAAATAAAATGCTTTCCAAATTAAATAAAAACTTTACTTTTATTTATTTATTTATTTATTTATTTATTTATATTTTGGGTGTAAAGCTGAATATTTTGTGTGGTTTGATAATGATTCACCTCATAACGTGCCTTTTAGCTGCATAATGTGATGTAGCATTTTTCAATCTTCAATGTGTCTAAATTTTATAACAATTTCACCAATATTGGGTTTAATTACAATCTATATTTTATTAAAATTTTCACACTCATGTTTATTTGATTTTTAATTTTTAATTTTATGTCTAATGGATAACCAATGATATTATTTAAAGATTATACGGCAAGTTGATGTTGGTTAGGTTTGAGGTTTATCATACACAAAATTAAATTAAAAGTTTGATAGATCTCGTTAAATAAACTCTTAAAAATACCAAGATTAAATACTGTTTTTTATTTTACTTGGGACCATCTAACTGTTGTATTTATATTTTATGTTATAAATCAATACTTGAAGAAAAAAAAAAGCAAATTAAAGAATATAAATTAATTTAAATTGGTACTTAGGAAGGAAGAAAAGGAAAAAGAAGATTAAATGGATAAGTAAAAAAAAAATGATGAAGTCATCAACTTTTTTGTATGCATGAATCGTGAAAGTATGTTTTCATCCATATACTTATAATCACATTAACCAATGAGCCATTATGGAACATGCCCACCAACCCAACATCACTCATCCCATCTTTTTTTGTCTCATCCACATTAATAATAACCCACTTTTTTTTTTTAAATTTCTATGTAGCTTAATTAATCAATATCACATTTTTTTTTTCTTTTTCAAATTCTACTCTTCATTTGGATAACAAAATTTAGTTGATGGGTATGGTCATTAATCAGCCCACTCTGTGAAATAGTTTTGAAATAATTATTATAGTTTTTAGAATTATAATTGGATAAGTGGGTTAGAATTCCTAGAGAAATCGTTAAACTAACATGTCATTATGATTTGTAGATTCGAAGGACTTAGCGGTACGCCTGATCATTTTCAATTCGAGCCCATCAGAATAGTTTCTGGCATAATTTTATTGAAGAGCATGGTAGAAAGTTCGATCAATATTTATTAGAGATACCGTTTATAGGAACTTTGATTTCTTGTCTTGTTTCGGACTGCGTGGACACTTATTAAAAAAATATTTAAAATCGAAGATCTTTTTTTGTAAACATGTTCATGTCTTGTGATCACAAATTACAAAATAACATGGTCTAAAAAGTAAACAACTTTTCCTAATTTCCCTTTCCATGAAAATGAAAGATCCTCTTCATTGAAGTGAAAAAGTAGAGTTGTTATTCATTTACCATCATACGATCAAAACTATTTAAAACTAGAATATATTCAAGACCCCTATTTAATGATAATTTTTTTGTTCGTCTTCTGTTTTTAATCAAGATTGTGAATAACTGAATACTTATAATATAGCTAACGGCTAAAAATAAATTTTAAAATGGTAAAATCAAATTAATTTCTTCCACTTTTATACAACGTTTGCAAAAAAGGAAAGGAATAAATAGTAAAAGAAGGGAAAAACGATTATTGTGTGTCATTGTATTATGAAGAGTATGATGAGATTAGATGAATCGATTCCATTTTGTGTTTCACAAATTTGAAAAATGCTATTAATTACTATTAGGGTTTTGTGGAATAATAATGGATTTTTGGCCGCCCAATCATGTTTTGTCTTGTCCCCTTTTAAGAGCCCTCTTTGCTTCTATATTAAGCGATTTGTGCTTTTCTTTTTTTTTTTCTCCTCTCTAATTTTATCAAGAAATTTAAACATTCGACCATAAGTTATGTTTCTTATTTCTTATGTTTCTAGGAATGATGTCAAAATTTTATAGAAATTTTAGCACTAACAAACACAAATTTCTTATTTATTGTTTTCATTTTAAGTTGGATAAAAATATAAATAAAAATATTATTTTATCATTCTTTGATAAAATAAAAATTTCAGAAAAATACCAAACATATTTCTATTTCTCTTTTTCAATTAAAAAACAGTAAAAAAAGAATGGTTCCAAACACAATTCTTTTTTTCTTTTTATAAATTCTAAAGCGATCAATTATCTCTCAAAATCCGATTGAAAAATATGATGATTATAACATGAAATAAACATATTGTATATTATTAACTTAGCTGGCCCAGCTACAACATTAATAACCTACCTCAACTTCAAGTTCCCAAACAAAAAATGAAGATGAAAGTAAAACTTTCCTGCACACCTCCATTTTAATCATATTGCATTATTACTAATATTAGACTGGCCTTTTTCTCGTAGCTTAATTTCTTTTATACATATATAAAACATAATTCAAATTTAGAAGATTCAACTCATTATAAATAATTAAAACTAGTGAATTTTAATTGATTTATGGGGATTTTCTGTGGGCTTTTATGACACAATCTAGCCGGAATTTAGTCACATTTAATATTTATTGTTGCACCCTTTGAAAATTTCCGTGGCCATAATCAAGCCATGTTTAACTTCACATACTATTTCAAAAAGGAGAAAAAGAAAAAAACTTTATATATAGACCACTAATTAATTATTTATATTTTGGTTTAAATTAAAGTTAACTGTTTAGGGGTTCTAATTTAAAACTAGGAACAAAGGTACCAATCTATGGCAACCATACGAGTGTTTAATTGGCTGGTCTTAAATAGGCGTGATTAATGAATCATTTGATTGCTAATTGTCGATTTTTCTTTTTTCTTTTTCTCTTTTTTACGTTTAAAATAAAAATATACATAACCCCTTTTTCTAAGAAAAATATTGATTAATATGTGTGTGCAAGAAAATTGGCAGGTGCAAAAAGTCAAATGCTGATGGGCAATTTCACTATTGAGCTGGAATAATACTGACAGTTTTTATACAGATTTTTATTTTATTTTTTTCCAAAATAATTATAAATCAAATAACTACTTTACTCCTAAGGTTTTTTTTTTTTTTTTTTAAAGCATCTAATTTATTGTCCGTTAATCGAACAGCTATAAATTCAATTATCAATGGAAAGTTATTTAATTTGATCAGTGAGATGTAAGATGTAACCGTCCCTTTTATAATTATTACTTATATAAGAAGATCATTTTCACATCATATATTTAATAATTTAGAAAATAATTATTTGGCCCTATTTAACTATAAATTTAAATAAAGGATATCCTTATATTTATTTAGATTCTATTGTAAATATATAAAATTATTGACTTTTAAAATAGTTAAATATCTTATCTATTTATCTATATAATTAACTGTTTTTGTCCGTAATAATTGTTTTGGTTGTATTTGATTTCTAAGTCGTTTTATTTTTGGGTTGTATCTGCATGCTATTTTATTTTACAGATTGGGTAGTTTCTTTTTATTTAGATTTTATCTATTTATTTAATAATTTTGTAGTTAGTTTTTTAGTACAAATTTGTGTAGAGTTCATAGTACACAATCTAATTTTGGATGCATGCGACACTCTTAACTAAAAATATAGGTAAATAAATTGATATTACATAAAAACAAGAGACTTACTGAGATTATGCAAAAATGAAATAACATAGTAAATAAAGACTTACAAAATTGATAATTACAATCTGTGCCCTACCCATAAGGCATAAGGACGTTGACAATAAAATTAACAAGGCAACTAAAACAGACAAACAACAAAAGAAACACCACATGCCTCATAAACGAGACACAACATAACAACTCATTTATAGAAAGAAATGTGAAGAAGTCTGGAGAAAGGTCAACAACGTAAACATTACTCTAAACAAAATACATTGATAAGTGGGAGTAGAAACAAAATTACATTCGTTTAAGGATAAAGTAATGCGAGAGATTAAAATTTTGATGGTGGCGTAAGGTGTGGGGTCCCACTCCTTTGTTCTATGTTCTTGTGTTGGCTACAAATACCCTCTTCTCCCTCCCCACTTCTCTGCTAAGCCCTAAGCTTCAGCCTCCAATTCCTTCCTTCAGCTCCATTCAAATCCATAATCCATAATCATGGACCTTCAAAAACAGGGTATCCTCACAATTCTCCATTCCGACTTCCAATCTTCCCTGCGAAGGA